GAACTCCCATTTTGTACTATGAACACGTACAGCTTTCGTTACATTACTGTTACGTGCGTCTGCCAGTCTAGCCTTGGTGCTGAGTCTGTTTTCCTATGTTTGTTCTCTTAAACCCACTTATGCCTACCACTGTATATCTTTCACTTGTTGTTGTGATTCCAGCATTGTGAGGTTGATGACTAGTAATTGTTGTCTTGTTTTGTTCACTGTTTATTAAATGACAACTTACTTCTCCTTCCCCGTTTGTCAGTTCCTCACCAGTCGTCACCTGGGTGATTTCTGTGAGTTGATCTGTCTTCACGTTAATATATACAGTACCTCCTCCTGTCTCTGTCAGATCGTTTCTCCGGCTATTTTAACCTGAGTCATTATAAAGTCCATCATAATGTCTTTGTCTAACCTTTTATCTGGTGTCTTGTCAGTTTCGAGATAATATTTATTCATGGTTAACACTTATTGACTGGTTTACACCTGACCTATTGGTTGATTAAAGTCTTCAAGAGTTCTATATAATTCATCATGGAGGAACATAACGTTATTATATTGTCTCTAACGTAGATCTTGTCCAGGGACCGTCTTCCCTCATTAAGCCACCATGAACTGCACCAGAATGTTCCATTCTGATCACCACATATTAATCAGATCCAGGTCCTGACACCCGCAACAAAAATCAGTAACTCCGTTCACAGAAACCAGGCATTTTTTCAAACATATCCCGTTAGTAATCACCACCTCGCTGATACACTAACGATGCTGCTGCTGGGCCATTAACACAGTGCAGAGAGAGCTTGATAACGTCTTTACTGTGAAGGTGGATGATATACTAGATTGACAACTAAATCAATATTGCTGTTGCCCAGAACAGATGAACAGCAATAATGCAGAAGGTACCACGCTAAATTCACGTCACACGCTTAGTCACATTCATGCTTTATGAACTATACTGAAGCTTCCACGATTGGGCCACAGTCACACCCAGAGAGTATAACAACAATTCCCAATCACAGTAAGTCCCAGCTGCCCGCCCCCAACCCCTGCCCGCCCCCAACCCCTACCCTGCCCCCCAACCCCTGCCCGCCCCCCAACCCCTGCCCTGCCCCAACCCTGCCCCCCCCCAACCCCTGCCCTCCCCCCAACCCCTGCCCGCCCCCAACCCCTGCCCTTCTTCTGCCTGCCCCCAACCCCTGCCCCGCCCCCAACCCTGCCCTCCAACCCAACCCTTTCCCTGCCCCCCAACCCCTGCCCGCCGCCCCCAACCCCTGCCTGCCCCCTACCCCCTGAACAAGCCTCCTCCCCAACACCCCCCTCTCACCCGCCCCTCCCCAGCACCCGCTCCCTCCCCAACACCCCACCCTCCCCCAACACCCGCCCCTCCCCCCACCTGCCCCCCCCCAACACTCGCCCTCCCCAACACCTGCCCTCCCCAACACCCCTCCTCCCCCAACACCCGCCCTCCCCCCAACACCTTCCCTCCCCCAACACCCGCCCTCCCCAACACCCGCCCTCCCCCAACACCTGCCTCCCCCACACCTGCCCCTCCCCCCAACACCTGCCCTCCCCCAACACCCCTCCCCCAACACCCGCCCTCTCACAACACCGCCCTCCCCCAACCCTCCTCCCCCCCAGCCCCCACCCTCCCTCCAACTGCCCTCCCCCCAACACCCCGCCCTCCCCCCCTAACACCCCGCCCTCCCCCCCAACCCTGCCCTCCCCCCAGCCCTCCCCCAACACTTGCCCTCCCCAACACCCGCCCTCCCCCAACACCCCGCCCTCCCCCCTGACACCCTTCCCCCAACACCCGCCCTCCCCCCCAACACCCTCCCCCCCCAACACTGTCCTCCCCCAACCTGCCCTCCCCCCCAACACCGCCCTCCCCCCACCGCCCTCCCCAACCCTCCCCCCAACACCCTTCCCTTCCAACACCCTTCCTCCCCCCCAACCCTGCCCTCCCCTCCTCCCACACCCTGCCCTCCCCCCCAACACCGCCCTCCCCAACCACCGCCCTCCCCCCCAACACCCGCCCTCCACTCCCCACACCTCCTCCCCCCCAACACCGCCTCCCCCCAACACCTGCCCTCCCCCACACCACCCTCCCCCCCAACACCCGCCCTCCCCCCCCCACACCACCCTCCCCAGCACCGCCCTCCCCCCAACACCGCTCCCCCCCCCAACACCCACTCCTCCCCCACGCCCACCCTCCCCCTTGCTCCTCCCCCCCCCAACACCCTCCCCCATCTCCCCCCCAGCCTCCCCCAACACTCCTCCCCCTCCTCCCCCCAACACCACTCCTCCCCCCCCAACACCCTGCTCCTCCCCCCCAGCTCCTCCCCCAACACCTGCCTCCCCCCCAACACCGCTCCTCCCCCCCTTCTGCTCCTCCAACACTTCTCCTCCCCCCCAACACCGCTCCTCCCCAACACCACTCCTCCCCCAACACCCGCTCCTCCCCCCAACCTGCTCCTCCCCCCCAACACCCCGCTCCTCCCCCCCAACACCTGCTCCTCCCCCCAACACCTCCTCCCCCACACTGCTCCTCCCCCAACACCACTCCTCCCCCCAACACCCTCCCCCCCCAACACCGCTCCTCCCCCAACACCCCTCCTCCCCCAACAACTCCTCCCCCCCAGCACTCCTCCCCCCCCCCAACGCCCCGCTCCTACCCCCAGCTTGCTCCTCCCCCAACACCTGCTCCTCCCCCCAACACCGCTCCTCCCCCCAACCCGCTCCTCCCCTCTATCACAACAACCTGCTCCCTCCCCCAACACCCGCTCCTCCCCCACCCCGCTCCTCCCCCCAAACCTGCTCCTCCCCCCCAACCTGCTCCTCCCCCAACCCTGCTCCCCAACACCCACTCTCCCCCCAACACCTGCTCCTCCCCCAACACCCTCTCTCCCCCCAACACCCTCCTCCCCCAACACCACTCCTCCCCCCCCCCAACACCGCTCCTCCCCCCAACACCACTCCTCCCCCAACACCGCTCCTCCCCCCAACACCCACTCCTCCCCCCAGCACCCTCCTCCCCCCAACACCCGCTCCTCCCCCCCCAACACCACTCCTCCCCCGCTCCTCCCCCAACACCTCCTCCCCCCCAACACCGCTCCTCCCCCCACCTGCTCCTCCCCAGCCTCCTCCCCAACCTTGCTCCTCCCCAACACCCACCTCCTCCCCCCAACACCCGCTCCTCTTGCTCCTCTGAAACACAGCTCCTCCCCACAACCTTGCTCCTCCCCAACCTTGCTCCTCCCCCTTCCCCCAACACCCTTCCCCCAACCCTACCCTTCCCCCTTTGACACCGCCCTCAACACCGCCCCCAAAACACCTCATCCCACACAGCAACACCCACCTCAACACCTGCACCCTCAACACCCAGTTCCCAACACTGCCTCACCCGCCCTTTGCACCCCACCTCACCCCTCCCACCACCACATTTCAGCACCTAATATATCAACACTCGTCTGCTTTGGACGAAAAACCAAAAACATATCATCTTTATATAACAAACTTGTACACTGATGCTCTGAGTTTGATGAATTTACTGAACTTTATGTTGGAGGATTGTGATGAAATAATCTATATGGCGATGTTGTGAGGAACTGTCAGGTGTCGTCCACTCACAGCCCAGTTGAATATGAAATGATTTCAAATTATTTATAAAAAAATAAAATCAAGTGTAATGATTTGTCTCTTATTTGTGTATAAACATGAAGGTTGTGCCTAAGTTAGAAAAACAGCTGCTAAATACGATAGCAGTGAGTGGTAGGTTAGGTTAGGTTATGAGAGAACAGTGAGTAGTAAAACATCTTAATAATTCCAAATACATTAGTAACTCTTATTTATTATATCTGACGTGTATCATTATACAGTATAGTGGTGCTGGTATCGTCTGCTTCTTTACTACGCGCCTCAGATAACTGCCCGAGCGTCTCAGCACCATACGTCCACCACCCACGCCACTAACTTGACTCAATGCTCCAGCTACAACCCACCAGGAGTAATTTAATGTTCTCTTCAGCATACGGGCTGTTTGTGGCGCCTCGCTTCTCGTCCACCTACTCAGGGGGGTGTATATTTATTTCCAGCTTGTATACATGTCCAGGAAACTCGGCGCCAATTCTCAGCATGTCCATGTCTTCTGTGGTTTCAAATACAGAATGTATTGAGGAAATGGCCTTATCAGAGTACGTGGTTAGCATGTCTTACAGTTTACCGTAGATTCCTATTGATAAACAGACCGTACAGTATATCCTTGTGTAGCCGCGCACCACTTTAGCCATGTGTATGATTCATTCACTAATTACCACCATCCACCTACCTACCTACCACGACTGACACCTCTACTACCTACCACCACGACTGACACCTCTACTACTCACCACCACGACTGACACCTCTACTACCTACCACCACGACTGACACCCCTACTAACAACCCACCACTAGTATGGCACCATTGTGGGAAATCTGGTGGGTATGGTTTTTAGGTAAGTGGGTATGGATTTGGATGTGTAGGTAGGTGTATAGGTGTAGATAAAGGTGTGTAGTAGGTGTGGAAAGATGGCCGACTACTAAGATAAAATTTGTTTTAAAGACATAAACATTCAACTCACTGTAACACATTATATGTATTACGTAGCGCCAGTAATATACAGAAAATTTTAAACAAACCAGAAGGAAATAATTATAACCAAAATGCACCACTTCAAATAAAATCTGATCTTTATGACATGTTAAAATCATTTCTATACTGGAGTCTGTCTGTATCTACGGCTGTGTGACCGTGGTTTACCCTCACGATCTCTTTAAGCATGAGAAAGAGCGTCACAGGAAGAGGGTTTGATTCTTTAGGTGGTGGGTCATCTTGTGTGGCATAGAGACGTGTATTTGTGGTGGTGGTGGTGTTATAAGTACAAGAGGTGAGTGTGGTGGTGTTATGAGTACAAGAGGTGAGGGAGTACAGTATAGTGAAGATAAGTGTACTAACCTCCTTGTGGTGGCCGGCAGGGAGGGGCAGGCGTCGCAGGAGGACTGGCATCGACTCTACGGCAAGTGCTCGGGTAACGAGATCTACCACATCAAGCTAAGTGACTCATGGTTCTTCGGGGAGTACGAGGGCAAGAGCTTCACCTACGCCAGCTTCCACTCACACAGGAAGTAAGTTGTGGTTCTTCCTCTTCCTTTATCATCTGGTGTATGTACACTCTCACGTTCGTCGACCTTTTTTATAAACTTCTCTCGAATCAGGTGTGGCTTGTGGTGGTCTTGGATTAAACTTAGTGTGAATAGTTCCAATGCCAAGTTATATTTTAAATATATATTTGTATTGAAAGTAAGAGTGAAAAAGTAGTGAAAGAGAAGGTGTACGTGCGTGAGTGCGATATACAAGAGGAAGCAGGTCCTTGTCAAGCAAATAGGTGTGTGTCAGTGCTGGGTTGAGCCTATTTGTGGCTTTTCACTGTTGGTCCTCACTGCCCTCCCTCATACCTTCTGGCTTTACCCCTTACCTCCCCTCCTAGTGAGAAGTAACTTGGCGTGTCCCAGGTATGGGGTTTGCCCCTTAAGTGAGAGGTAACGGTGTGCCTTGCAGGTATGGTGGTCTTGCCAGTGAGAGGTAACTTGGTGTGCCTTGCAGGTATGGTGTGGCTCTGGTCGGTGTGCGCCTGCCGAGCTGCCGGAGTTCTACGAAGACACGATCCTCCTGAACCCTGGCCCGAGACACATCATGAAGAAGACTGACATGTGCTTCTATATGAGCATCACCAAAGAAGAGAACAGTGCCTTTGTAGTGGGAACCACCACCACCACCACCACCAGCAATCAAGAGAGGAGGCCGGAGGGCGGGGATCACCATCAAGGACCCAGAGAAGGGGAACGTGGAGAGGAGTGACCGGGAGGAACCCGTACCCAAGCCAGACAGGTAAGTCATCACCTCACTGTCAACACTTAGGACAAAGTTGGGACAAATTTTGTCATTAATGCATATTTTTTTTTTCCTCAACTAAACTCCATCAGAAATTAAACAACATTTTTCCTTCCTGTCGCTTAAATTCTTCCTTAAAAACCATTCTTGTCTGTGGTCTTCTCTTTAGTAACTGTTGAACCTGCTTGGTGAGAGAAAAGTAACTTGTGAAGCGCTCTCACGCTCTCTCATACCCAGTGGCACAAGTCACTAGCATAGTACGTGCCGTTCATGCGAGGTGTCTGTTAGCGTACAATCTTACCCTTCAGTAAACTACAATTGGTGCTTTTCACTTGTAGGCCGACGATGTGTCCTGCTCAAGCTGCGACGTAACGGTATGGATGGAAAGCCTTGCCCGCACCTGCCCTGTACATGTCCCGCTGTGTTTGGATGCATATTTAGGCACTATGGCAGCTTGTTCCAGGCTATACGACACTGATCACTTTATGTTACACCCGGAGCCTTCCTTAGATGCTTCACCACAAGTTCATGTCCTGCTTGGCTTAAAACCAGAATTAGAATTTTCTCACAATCAATGACTTGATTTGTTTAGCTGTGTTTGATGATGAAGATGAAGTAAATGACGAAGTAATTTTACAAGTAAACTGTTTCATTGATGACCGTGGAGAGTGAGTGTGGAGGTTCACATCTCCCATGGAGAACATTACTTTCACCATGCACATACCATTGTTGTCTTGTTTGGGTCATTTTAAAAAGGTTCTGTCTGTCTGATGCAGAGTAAGTGTATGCTTCCATACATGATGAACCAACATAAAATTTTAATTCAAAGATGAAGAACTTGACAATGTGTGAGAGAGTTGATATGCTTTAGTTAAAACCATGTAGGGTGTAAATGACCTTTTGGTGATACACTGTACTTGATTGGAGGATATTCTCATCTGTTTAATTCAGTTAATTTTTCAAGGAGTGAACTACTCCGTATAAAGGACGACTGTAACTGTAAATAATTGAAGAGGCGATGTATAAGGTGCGAGAAGAGATTGGTGTATCAACAACAACAGTGTTCCTTGATCTCCTCAACACCTGCCTCAGACTGTGTCCTCAAAGGTGTTGAATGGATAAACATGCTCTTATTTTAATGGAGGATGACAGACGTCTTCCCGAAACACGCGGGTTATAGCTTCTTAATTTAACCTTAAGAGTATATTGTGCTCAACACATTATGTAAGATCTATTTTATTTAGAGAAAACTTGTTTTGTTGTCGGTGACTAGTAGCAAGACAATGAAGAAGGCCAAATGTGACATAAAGTTGATCAGTAAGTTATACTTGGAGCGGACACGCCTTCTTGCCCGGTCACTGTATCCTCTTAGTTGATCCTGACCGATACAAACCCTAGCAACTTATTAGGATTTTTACATATTTGTGAAATTTTTTATTAGTCAGACTCCGCCCGAACTTTTGTATGCTTCCGACCCTCCTGTGGCGTCCCTTAGCTGTAGCGGACTAAAGCGTGTAGGTGATAGGGAAGTGTGGTCCAGTCTGGTCCCTGGGAGGTACTGAGGACCCTCCCTGGGAGGTGCTGAGGACCCTCCCTGGGAGGTGCTGAGGACCTCCCTGGGTGATGCAGAGGACCCTCCCTGAGTGATGCTGAGGACCCTCCCTGGGAGGTAATGAGGACTCTCCCTGGGTGATGCAGAGGACCCTCCCTGAATGATGCTGGGGACCCTCCCTGGAAGGTACTGAGGACCCTCCCTGAGTGATGCTGAGGACCCTCCCTGGTGGTGCTGAGGACCTCCCTGGGAGGTACTGAGACCCTCCTGGGTGGTGCTTGAGGACCCCTCCTGTGGTGAGGACCTCCATGGGTGGTACTGAGGACCTCCCCTGGGTGGTGCTGAGGACCCTCCTGGGTGATGCAGAGGACCCTCCCTGGGAGGTACTGAGGACCCTCCTGGATGCAGAGGACCTCCTGAGTGATGCTGAGGACCTCCCTGGGAGGTACTGAGGACCTCCTGGGTGATGCAGAGGACCCTCCCTGGAGTGATGAGGATCCTCCTGGGTGGTGCTGAGGACCCTCCCTGGTGGTGCTGAGGACCCTCCCTGAGTGATGCTGAGGACCCTCCCTGTGGTGCTGAGGACCTCCCTGGGAGGTACTGAGGACCCTCCCTGGGTGGTGCTGAGGACCCTCCCTGGGTGGTGAGGACCATGGGTGGTACTGAGGGCCCTCCATGGTGGGGAAGAGGACCTCCCTGGGAGGTACTGAGGACCTCCTGGGTGGTGCTGAGGACCCCCATGGTGGTACTGAGGACCCTCCATGGTGGTACTGAGGACCTCCATGGGTGGTACTGAGGACCCTCCCTGGGTGGTGCTGGGAGACCTTCCTGTGGTGCTGAGGACCCTCCTGGGTGGTGCTGGCCAGGAGACCTCCATGGGTGTACTGAGGACCCCCCTGGATGGTGCTAGGATCTGAACAGGAGACCTCCTGGGAGGTACTGAGACCTCCTGGGAGGTGCTGAGACCCTCCCTGGTGCAGGACTCCCTGGTGGTGCTGAGGACCTCCATGTGGTGCTGAAGGACCTCCTGGGTGGTGCTGAGACCCTCCTTGAGGTCTCCTGTTGCTGAGGACCTCCCTGTGGTGCTGGGAGACCCTTCCTGGGTGGTATTGAGGACCTCCCTGGTTGGTGCTGAGACCCTGTGGTACGAGGACCTCCTCGGTGGTACTGAGGACCCTCCTGGATGGAGCTTGAGGAAAGGAGACCTCTCTCTGTGCTGAGGACCTCCTGGGGAGGACCTCCTGGTGGACTGTGCTGAGGACCTCCTGTGTTGGAGACCCTCCTGGTGGTGCTGAGGACCCCCTGGTGGTGCTGAGACCCCGGGACCCTCCGGTGCTGAGACCCTCCGGTGCTGAGACCTCCCTGGGTGGTGCTGAGGACCCCGCCTGGGAGGTACTGAGGACCTCCCTGGTGGTGCTGAGGACCTCTGGTGCTGAATCCCTGTTGCTGAGGACCCTCCTGTCCTGGGAGGACTGAGGAACCCCTGGGGTGCTGAGACCCCTGGTGGTGATGAGGACCTCCCTGTGGTGCTGAGGACCTCCCTGGGTGGGAAGGAGGACCTCCTGGTAGGATGAGGACCTCCTGGCAGCGGGAGACTCCTTGTGTTGGAATCCTCCTGGGTGGGTGATGAGACTTCCTGGGGTGCAGGATGTGGAGACCTCCTGGGTGGTGCTGAGGACCTCCCCGTGGTGCTGAGGCCCCCTGTGGTGATGAGGACCTCCCTGGTGGGATGAGACCTCCTGGAGGAGGAGACCTCTGTGGTGCTGAGGACCTGGTGGAGCAGACCTCCCTGGGTGCTGGGAGACCTCCTGGGATACTGAGGACCCTGGGAGGTACTTGAGACCCTCCTGTGCTGAGACCCTCCCTGGGGTAATGAGGACCTCCCTGGTGGTGCTGAGGTCTCCTGGAGGTGACCTCTGAGGGCTGAAGACCTCCTGGGAGGTACTGGGAGACCTCCTGGGTGGTGATGAGGACCCTCCCTGGGTGGGGCTGAGACCTCCTGGTGATGGAGACCCTCCTGATGGTGCTGAGGACCTCCCTGAGGCGAGGACTCCCTGGGAGGTGCTGAGGATCCTCCTGGAGGTACTGAGGATCCTGACCCTGGTGGTGCTGAGGACCTCCTGGGTGGTGCTGAGGACCCTCCCTGAAAGACCTGGACTACTCCTGGGTGGTGCTGAGGACCTCCTGAGGTGAGACCTCCCTGGGTGGAGACCTCCTCTGAGTACTGAGGACCTCCTGGAGGTACTGAGGACCTCCTGGGGAGCCTGGGGATCCTCCCTGTGGTGCTGGAGGACCCTCCCTGGGGTGTTGAGACCTCCTGAGGACTGAGGATCCTCCCTGGGAGGTCTGAGGAGACCTCCCGGGAGGTACGATCCTCCCTGGGGTGAGGACCTCCTGGTGCTTGAGGACCTCCTGTGGTGCTGAGGACCTCCCTGGGAAGGTACTGAGACCCTCCTGGGAGGTACTGAGGACCTCCTGGGTGCTGGGAGGACCTCCGGGATTGAGGACCTCCAGGGAGACTCTGAAGATCCTCCCTGGGTGGTGCTGAGGACCTCCTGGGATTGAGGATCCTCCCTGGAGTACTGGAGGACCTCCTGGGTGGTGCTGGAGACTCTCTGGGAGGCACTGAGACCTGCTGTTGAGGACCTCCTGGGAGAGAACCTCCCTGGAGCGAACCTCCTGGTGCGAGACCTCCGGGTGTGTTGAGGATCCTGGGTGTGCAGGACCTCCCCTGAGTACTGAGATCCTCCTGGGAGTACTGAGGATCTCCCTGGTGGTGCTGAGACCTCCTGAGGTAGGACCTCCTGAGGACTACCTCCGGTGACACCTCTGGAGGTACTGAGGACCTCCTGGGAGGTACTGAGGACCTCCCGTAAGTGAGACCCTCCGTGGTGCTGAACCGGAACCTCCTGGAGGTACTGAGGATCCTCCTGGGGTACTGAGACCTCCTGGAGGTACGAGACCTCCTGGAGGTACTGGAGGATCCCTCCTGTGTTGAGACCTGGGAGCGAGACCTCCTGGTGACTTGAGACTCTCCTGGAGGTACTGAGGACCTCCCTGGTGGTACTGAGGACCCTCCCTGAGGTACTCAGGACCTCCGGTGGTGCTAGGACCCTCCCTGGTACTGAGGATCCTCCCTGGAGGGGAGGACCTCCCTGGAGGTACTGAGACCTCTGGTGGCATGAGACCTCCTCGGGTACTGGAGGACCCCCCAAGTAGGAGATCCTCCTGGGAGGTACTGAGGATCTCCCTGGGAGTTGAGGACCTCCTGGGTGGTGCTGAGGACCCTCCTGGGAACTGAGACTCCTGGAAAGGAAGACCTCCTGGGAGGTGATTGAGGACCTCCTGGGAGGTACTGAGGACCTCCCTGGGAGGCATTGGAGACCTCCTGGGTGGTGCTGAGGATCCTCCCGGAGGTACTGAGATCCTCCTGGGAGGTACTGAGACCCTCCTGGGTGGTGCTGAGGATCATCCTGGTGGTACTGAGGACCCTCCCTGGGTGGTGCTGAAGACCTCCTGGGAGGTACTGAGGACCTCCCTGGGTGGTGCTGAGGACCCTCCCTGGTGGTGCTGGAGGACCTCCCTGGGAGGTACTGAGGATCCTCCCTGGGTGGTGCTGAGACCTCCTGGGTGGTGCTGGAGGACCTCCTGGGAGGTACTGAGGAACCTCCTGGGAGGTACTGAGGATCCTCCCTGGGTGGTGCTGAGGACCTCCCTGGGTGGTGCTGAGGACCCTCCTGGGTGGTGCTGAGGACCTCCCTGGGTGGTGCTGAGACTCCCTGGGTGGTATGAAGGTCCTCCGGGAGGTACTGGAGGACCCTCCTGGTGGTGTTGAGGACCTCCTGGGAGGATACTGAGGACCTCCCTGGGGTGCTGGAGGACCTCCCCTGGGAGGTACTGGAGGATCCTTCCTGGGTGGTACTGGAGGACCTCCCTGGGTGGTGCTGGAGGACTCTCCCTGGGTGGTGCTGAGGACCTCCCCTGGGTGGTATTGAAGGTCCTCCTGGAGGTACTGAGACCCTCCTGGGTGGTGCTGAGGACCTCCTGGGAGGTACTGAGGAACCTCCCTGGGAGGTACTGAGGAACCTCCCTGGGAGGTACTGAGGATCCTTCCTGGGTGGTACTGAGGACCCTCCCTGGGTGTTGCTGAGGACCCTCCCTGGGAGGTACTGAGGACCCTCCCTGGGTGGTGCTGAGGACTCCTCCTGGGTGGTATTGAAGATCCTCCCTGGGAGGTACTGGAGGACCCTCCGTGGGTGGTGGTGCTGAGGACCTCCCGGAGGTACTGAGGACCCTCCTGGAGGTACTGAGGACCCTTCCTGGGAGGTGCTGAGGACCTCCCTGGGAGGTACTGAGGATCCTCCTGGGTGGTGCTGAGGAACCTCCTGGGTGGTGCTGAGGACCTCCCCTGGAGGTACTGGAGGACCTTCCTGGGTGGTGCTGAGGACCTCCTGAGTGGTGCTGAGGACCTCCCTGGTGGTGCTGGAGGACCTCCTGGGAGGTACTTGAGGACCCTCCTGGGTGGTGCTGAGACCCTCCCTGGGTGGTGCTGGAGGACCTCCCTGGTGGTGCTGAGACCTCCCCTGGGTGGTACTGGAGGGCCCACCCTGGTGGTGCTGAGGACCCTCCTGGGTGGTGCTGAGGACCTTCCTGGGAGGTACTGAGGACCTCCCTGGGTGGTGCTGAGGACCCACCCGTGTTGGAGGACCCTCCTGGGTGGTGCTGAGGACCCTCCCTGGAGGTATTGAAGGTCCTCCTGGGTGGTGCTGAGGACCCTCCTGGGTGAAGGAGGACCTCCCTGGGTGGTGCTGAGGACCCTCCGGAGGTATTGAGGACCTCCTGGGTGGTGCTGAGGACCCACCCTGGGTGGTGCTGAGGACCCTTCCTAGGAGGTACTGGAAGGTCCTCCCTGGGTGGTGCTGAGGACCCTTCCTGGGAGGTACTGAGACCTCCCTGGGAGGTGCTGAGGACCCTCCCTGGTGGTGCTGGAGGACCCTCCATGGTGGTGCTGAGGGCTCCACCCTGGGTGGTGGTGCTGAGGACCTCCTGGGTGGTGCTGAGGACCCTCCCTGGGTGGTGCTGAGGACCTTCCCTGGGAGGTACTGAGGACCCTCCCTGTGGTGCTGGAGGGTCCACCCTGGTGGTGCTGAGGACCCCTGGGTGGTGCTGGAGGACCTCCCTGGGAGGTATTGAGGTCCCTCCCTGGGTGGTGCTGAGGACCCTTCCTGGTTGCTGAGGACCCTCCCTAGGTGGTGCTGAGGACCCTCCTGGGTGGTGCTGAGGACCCTCCCTGGGTGGTGTGCTGAGGACCCTCCTGGGTGGTGTTGAGGACCCTCCCTGTGGTGCTGAGGACCCCCTCCTGGAGGTATTGAAGGTCCTCCCTGGGTGGTGCTGGAGGACCTCCTGGTTGGAGGAGGACCCTCCCTGGGTGGTGCTTGAGGACCCTCCTGGGTGGTGGAGGACCCTCCTGGGTGGTGCTGAGGACCTCCCCTGGTGGTGCTGAGGACCTCCCTGTGGTGCTGAGGACCCTCCCTGGAGGTATTGAAGGTCCTCCCTGGGTGGTGCTGAGGACCCTTCCTGGGTGGTGCTGAGGACCTCCCTGGTGGTGCTGAGGACCCTCCTGGAGGTACTGAGGACCCTCCTCCCTGGTGGTGCTGAGGACCCACCCTGGGTGGTGCTGAGACCCTTCCTAGAGTAGACAGAAGGTCCTCCCTGGGTGGTGCTGAGGACCCTTCCTGGGAGGTACTGAGGACCCTCCCTGGGTGGTGCTGAGGACCTCCTGGGTGGTGCTGAGGACTCCATGGGTGGTGCTGAGGGCTCCACCCTGGGTGGTGCTGAGGACCCTCCTGGGTGGTGCTGAGGACCTTCCCTGGGAGGTACTGAGGACCTCCCGGGTGGTTGAGGGTCCACCCCTGTGGTGCTGAGGACCTCCTCGGTGGGAGGACCTCCTGGAGGTGGTGACTGGGCGGGTCCCTCCTGGGTGGTGCTGAGGACCCTCCTGGTTGGTGCTGAGGACCTCCCTAGGTGGTGCTGAGGACCCTCCCTGGGTGGTGCTGAGGACCCTCCTGGGTGGTGCTGAGGACCTCCCGGGTGGTGCTGGAGACCTCCCTGGGTGGTGCTGGAGGACCTCCCTGGGAGGTATTGAAGGTCCTCCCTGGGTGGTGCTGAGGACCCTCCTGGTTGGTGCTGAGGACCTCCTGAGGAGACCTCTGGGAGGAGGACCCTCCCTGGGTGGTGCTGAGACCCTCCCTGGGTGGTGCTGGAGGACCCTCCTGGGTGGTGCTGAGGACCTCCCTGGTGGTGCTGAGGACCTCCCCTGGGTGGTGCTGAGGACCTCCCTGGGTGGTGCTGAGGACCTCCTGGGTGGTGCTGAGGACCTCCTGGGTGGTGCTGAGGACCCTCCCTGGGTGGTGCTGGAGACCCTCCCTGGGAGGTGCTGAGGACCCTCCTGGGTGGTGCTGAGGACCTCCCCTGATGGTGCTGAGGACCTCTGGAGGTGCTGGAGGACCTCCCTGGAGGTACTGAGGACACTCTTGGTACAGTCCCAAACACCTCTCCCGACACCACCACCTCCTGAGCCTAGGCTTTTCATCGCCGCCGTGTCACATATCCTCCGCGTCAGGATGCTCCCTGCAGAAACGTCCTCCTGGCAGCGCTGTGTCCCAGCTCGATGAGAGGGTGGCACGGGCCATCATACGGCACGTTGCGTACTGTTCTTCTTACCTGACCATCCTGGTGCCTACCTCAGCATGATCTCGCACCTCCTCCCTTGGATTCTTCTGTTTCACATTCTCCAGCCCTCGGTGTTGTGCTGTACTAGTGAATATCTCCGCCCTCCCCACACCGCTGTGTACTCTTCCCTGCGATTATACACAACAACACACGAATTCAGCGCCACACACAACATCTCTGTACATAATATAACACTTTACCATTAATTCCTGATCAAAAGAACACACCTCCTGAAACACCAAAAACTCCTCCCCACCAACACCGCCGACCTACCCCTGCGATGCCTTCACCCATCAAGCACTGTACTGGTTCCTGGTTCTCAACACTGCTCGTCCCCTGCACCACACTCACTTTAAGGGGAGGGAGGGAAGGAGGATGAGCAGGCACTTAATCACGAGATCCTGCTATCACCTCATAGTTTAGTGTCCACTAAGTAAGTCGTGTCACACCGTCACATTGCACCGTCACAGATGTTTAGTGTTAGTAGTGTTCAATAAAGCTAGTTCACGATGACCTCCGCTTTACTGGCCACCTAGAACCTCTAAGCCGGGTCTTGATCTGGTTATGACACTCCTCTAAATAATGTACAGTCACAAACAAAAGTCTTCCTGCTGCTCCACGAACTCAGAGATTCAGACTAGTGAATCCGAATCATCCGTGAACAGAATGATATATCAGTGTCTACTACTGGGTTCAAGATCGCAATTCTCGTCATGGAGCAGCAGGAGACGGACAGACCTACATGGTACATATAGTTAGATATTGATGAGGCATATCCTTGAACGTTATGGCTAAGACAGGTAAAACCCGACGACGACATCAAATAAGACATGTATCCAGTGTTTTGTCATTGGCTGGGAGAGCTAGCTAAAGAGACACGAGCGTCGCAGTGTTGACCCCCAACTCGTTATTTATGTGAAATGCGGTAGTCTCATCTGTAGCAGAGGAACTGTAGGAGGGAGCAGCACTTACCTGGAGGTGAGGTAAGGCTTGTTTCACCTGAACTGTATCGGGGAACTTCATCCCCAACACAGTCTTTAAGGAAGGTTAAGTGGGCGGTAGGTCAGTTCACAGGAGGCACACACACAAGAGTCCCTGTGGAGAAAGGTGATGTCCGCCAGTAAAACACTTGGTGATGGTCACACTACTAATGTTTACTTAGTACGTAGTGTAGTTATGGTCGTGCATTAACCTCTCTTACAATACTGCACCGTAGTTGATGATCTAGGAAGAAGTAGTCGACTTAGTACACTTATAAAAAAGCTTACATGGCAGTAAATTGCACGTGTTATATGTATACCATGTTGCAGTACTCTAGAAATACTAGTGACCTACTGACTGTGTATTTGACGTACTGCACTCTGACTCCTTGGTTTGTGTATGTCGATGTATGGGGTCAAGCGGTAGTGTGTGTGTGCCGTCAGTAAGAACCAACCTAAAGTAGTAACTGTTGCGTATGTGTGTTAGTCTGTTGTATTGATCAGTCGCCCTTAACTCCACTGTCTATACTCTTCTATACACGCTAGTTGTATAGCATACCTTCCCACCTGTTCCTTCTAATTACATACACAATACCTGTATACCTACTTCTTCCTCCCTTCCTCCGTTCCTCCTTCCTTCCTCCCTTCCCCTCCTCCTCCTTCCCT